TGAAGGCTCAGAGCCTGAAGCCTGCTTCGGATTCTGTGTCTCCCTCTCTCTCTGCCCCTCCCCCACTCATGCTTTGTCTCTGTCTCAGAAATAAATAAACATTAAAAAAAATTTTTTTTAAAGTCTGAAATGGAAGACATCCAACAGCTATAAAATGAAGGGGAGGGGGTAAAATAACCTATACAATCGTAACATTTCTATATTTTGCTTAAAGCACTGAAATAACTCTACATAGACTGGGAAAGGTGAGGCAGTAGGCACGCTATAGTCCTTAGAAAGCATACTACAGGGGCGCCTGGGTGGCGCAGTCGGTTAAGCGTCCAACTTCAGCCAGGTCACGATCTCGCGGTCCGTGAGTTCGAGCCCCGCATCAGGCTCTGGGCTGATGGCTCAGAGCCTGGAGCCTGTTTCCGATTCTGTGTCTCCCTCTCTCTCTGCTCCTCTGTGTCTCCCTCTCTCTCTGCTCCTCCCCCGTTCATGCTCTGTCTCTCTCTGTCCCAAAAATAAATAAACGTTGAAAAAAAAAAATGAAAAAAAAAAAAAAAGAAAGCATACTACATAACATACTACAAAAAGAAAGAGCAAATAGATGATAGAATACTGAGAAACAAAATCAGAGTATGCAAACAGAACATGAACAATAAAATGATGGACCTAAATCTAATCACATCAATAATTATGTTAAATACAAATAGTTTAAATACACAAATTTAAAGAAATTTAAAGACAGACATTGTCAGTGTGGATTTTTTTTGACTCACCTATGTACTGTCTCATGAAACCCATGTTAAATATAATGACATAGATTAAAAATAAAAGTATGGGAGAAGACATCCAGGCAAACACTAATATGGAAAAGCTATATTAATGTCAGACAATTTAAACTTCAGAAAAAGAAATATTACAGAAATAAAGAGGTATATTCCATACGTATAAAAGTTCAGCTTACTAAGAAGACATAACAGTGTTAACATATATGCATCTAACTTCAGAATGCTGGAAGCTAAAACTATTAGAACTGAAAGAAAAAAATAGACAAATCTACAATTACACTTGGAGACCTTTACTCTTTGTGCTCAATAAGTAACAGAATCCATCGTCAGAAATCAACAAGATTATAGTAGACTTTCACAACACTATCTACCAATTTGACCTTATTGATACATATTTACAGAACACTTCACTAAGCGATGACAGAAAACACATGAAGCATGCTTAGAATAAAGAACTTTATTCTTTCATCTTTTAAAGAATTACCAGTTATGACGATCTGCCACAAAACGAATGCTGTATACACACGATGGACTACACTAGAACACTATAAGGTAACCCACATATGTGGGGGGGGTTGTGTATATATATATATATACACACACACACACACACACAATACACACACACACATATATATATATATATATACACACAGACACACACATAAATATAATTTGCCATTATTTTGCTGTATTCATTTATATTTTATTTCCCCTTGCATGTTTCTCCTTCCTGCTCACTTGTGTTTGAGCAAGTGGTATATCTGTGCTTCGAAATGTAAGTGATGATGTCTGGCAAGCAAGCTATATTTGCTGACAGAATCTTCTGGCTTGTTTGGAAAATCCTAAATTTATTCAAGAATGTATAGGGTTTATGGATAGTGGTAGAGGTTGATGAGAAGGTTTGTGGTGGGAAATAAGAAGGAAAAAGTGGTCAGGAGAGAAGAGCAGGGTCTGCAGGTCCCAGAGCAATAGGGGGGTGGGGGGTGGGGTGGTCAGGTCATTGTTTCTTGACAATTCTCTTAGAATTTGTGAGATCCAGAGTGGGAAGGCTATTTGGTGACTTTAGGAAGAGTTCTCAGCCTTGAGACAGATTCTCAGGTTCCTGTAAACCTGAAAGGAGAAGACTTCTACTTGGAATACCCACCTAACAGAAACAGTCTATTGTATATTGGATAGTATTTAAAAAAAAAATTTTTTTTTAAGTAAGCCCCACGATCAGCTCAGAGCCCAACATGGGGCTTGAACTCACGACCCTGCAAGTAAGACCTGAGCTCAGATCAAGAGTTGGATGCTTATCTGACTGAGCCACCCAGGCACCCCTGGATAATATTTTTAATATTTATGAATCCTCCCTGAAAGGGTCATGTTTCCACTCACAGATCGGAGGGACGTCGTTTACAGTTTGTGTAAATAATTCTTGGCAAAGAGTGGAGCTGGTCTCTGTCTTCATAACCACACACATAATTCTATTTCTTGAAGTCTAAGATCTCAACAGTTCTGAACTTCAAGCACCTTAGGTTCGGATGCTTGGCCAGGATGGGTGGAGAAGCTTAGATCTTATGGCTTCCCGTTGGATGTGGGCACCGAAGCTGTCAAAGACTTTCCCAACAGGCTAAGGGATATAGTAGAGTCACCCTTGTTTGGGGTTATCCAGGGTTCTCTGCAAGAATGGTAGAAAAAGTGTGTAAATTCTATAGCAAGATTAAATTTATATGTCTTATGCTGCCTTGCCAATCAACAAGAAGAGTTCTTGATCCCTGCATGTCAAAGTGGGGAGAAACACTAAAGTTGCTATTCCTGTTCCTGTGCACGCCTTAACGGGGATAAACAAAACCCCAGGAAGGATTGCCAAGATCCTGTTTGTAACAAATTTAAATTGGAGTGAGAAAGAAGAGAGAAACCAAG